ATTATTATTATTATTATTATTATTAATTATTATTATTATTATTATTAATTATTATTATCACTCGTACGCATACATATCACTTGTACTATATCATGTCAACGCACATCACATGCATGTCATGCACCGTTTGTCACACGTCATGCATATCACGCATGTCAAGTAAACATACATGATGTGCACATACGTTTCATAAACTATGTCACGCATATGTAAAATAAGCTATAATACCCAACTCAGTAGTTTATCACAAACTAACAGTAGTTGAAAGCAAAACCAAAAATACATTTTTCACGGAGCAGATGAAAACTGATGACCAGCGTTTCTTCCTTGCAGAGAATTCGAGTGAATGCAAAGGTTGTAGGAGTATTATTGGAGTGTTTCGGGAAGGATGTCTGGTAGATAATGGAAAATTCTAGAATTATCACCACACAAAATGTCTACGTTTCCCGAAAAAGATTTAAATGTTTGTCCTAAAACCTTTGCTTTCATTGGAGTTATCTGAGGGAAAAAAACCAGTCCCCAGTTTCTTAGTTTGATGAAAAATGTTTTTTTTTCGATTCTGCTATCCATTTCTCGCAAATTTGAACAATCATTCATTTTCCCTGCATACAAATTGTCTTTCGCTTATGTTTTGGTGATTTTAGAAAAATTTTTCGATCGTAATGAATATCATTTGTTTCACTTCCTTCGATTAATAATAAAATAGTATTACTTTGATTTCTATTCCAATTTAATCATCTATTTTTTGTATGATTCTTCAAGAATAGCTATGATTTTCATAGTATCATTGACCTTTACAACATATCTTTATTAATAATTACTTCATTCTTTCATAAATATTTTAATGAAAAAATATATTTATTACTTATCAAGAATAATGATCATCCGTTTAACTTAATGAGGAATGAATTATAAAAATAAAAATTGTAGAAGAGATGTGCGAATATTGTGCCACTCCAAAAATTTTTCCGCAAATTAAATTATTGCAAAATTGAAATATTTTTTCTTTCATTATATGATACTTTTATTAATGAAAAATGCATTAATCGGTCATCCGTATGCAAATTTTCTATCAAAATTCTCGAATATGATTTGTTCAAATAGCTGACATTAGAAACTTAAATCTCCGTTCAACACAAGATTTCCGCACAATCACATGCGGATATATATCTACATCGATCGATCGATCTACTCGAAAAAGACATATGAGGTTAGCCGTGAAAAAAAAATGAAATAAAAAAAAAGCATTCGTCTGTTAAGCTTTCAATCTTTTTCTGGATTTAGCTTAATTCATAACAGAAATCTATCGCTAACAGATGAATACAAAGTTATTAAATAAAAAAACAATCCTTTCATTCGATTACTTTCGTTACACAGCTAACTGCTTTTTCAGTCGCTTGATGTCCTCTGCTAACGCTTGTAGTCTGAAATTAATTAGTTGTGCTCAATTTCTATTTCAATCCAATATATGGGTAGCCGTACTTCAGTCATATCTTTACGTCATCGTGTCACTTTTGGGAAGATCTGAATAATATACCTTTCGATCTCGTATATTATCATTCGCTGTTTATTATTTGAATTAATCTATTAATTTGATCATAAAAAACACGTGACTTTCTTAGTAATTTCTTTCCTTAAACCTTCTGGAAATGAACTTTAAATCTTTGGCTTTGTCCCGTAAGGCTTTAATTAAAAAAAAAAAAAAGCAATTTCCAATTCATTGATTAGGATTTATTGTTTTTTTACCTACTGATTATGTGGGTAATTAAGTTTTTATAGTTTTTACAGCTAATTGTTAGAATTATTATGCTATAAATTGAAATTGAAGTTGAAATAATCGATAAAAGGAAACAAAATAGACGACTAACTCTTTCAGTTTGAAATCAAGTTTTTCATGTTTGGACAACCGTTTTAGTTTTTCTTTGGACTTTTTACCTCTATCCCAGCCCTGCAACCAAATTTTATACACTCATAGTCCTACACTGAAGATTGGCATATCAATGAATAAAAGCATCTCCGGCTTATTTCTGAAGTCTCTAGGATTTCCCGTGATATATTTAGTTAAGAAATGCAACAATGCAACATTGCAATCTTTAACTGATGTAATTTATTTAATGTAATAATTAGCACTCTATACCAAATGAAAAAAAAAACCAAAGAAATTCGATAGTTTTTTGTTAGCCCTTGAAAGGGTAACTTTCTTTGCTGAAGGCAATCAATCATTTTGTAAACATTAAATACTCAAAAATTCGACCAGAGAGAATTTTTTAGATTCTTCATACGACCATTCCTTCGAGATGATCTTCTTATTCATCTTACCATTTTTCTTGGCTTTGATTTTTAAAAAATGATATAAATAAGTGATATGTATAGGGAAAATTCATTTATACATTCAACATTGATAAAAGCGATAATCTTGATCGTTAACGGATTCACATATCATTCCCTCATTGACATAACAAAAGACCAAGGAGTTGTTTTGTAAATGAAATTTAATTTTATTTGGCTACCAAAATATTGAAGACATTGATGTTTTCAATCTCCTAAGTGGAAAAACTTTTAAATCTTAGATCATGGAATGGCCTTCTTACCGTCATTGGGAAAATTTCATATCTTCCTATAATTATCTTAACTTTTCGTAAATTTTGTCAAATTCCTGATTAGGGAAAAGAGAAAATGAAGGGATTCTCGAGATAAGCTATATATCATTACAATATTATCTGTGAATTTTATTCCTCGCCTATTTGTCTAAACCAAAAAAGGATTTACGAATCAAACATTTCATTGCCTTAAGTGATTTTCAATTATATGTTGTTAACCTTACATTATTTCAGCTTTACCTATATATATATATATATATATATATATATATA